CTTACTCTTTGATCATTTTTGCTTCATGGACGCCTAATTATCAATTTGTACCTATAGAATACTAAATCCACCAATTAAAACAGAAATATAAATTAATCCATAAAAAAATCCACGTAAACGTAAACGTTGAGTGTTATTTCTACACTCCACGGTGTCTTTTGTATCTTGTGCTTTTGATGATGTTTGCTTATGCATATTAAACTCCTGGTGCCGTTTTTCGTGTTTTTAAGATCATTGTAGCGTATGCACTTTTGCCAATGTTTTTTAACATGTACGTTTGTGCATGACTATTCGAGCGAGTGTGTTTGTGCATGTTTGTTGATTTGTATTAATGTCCTAGGATTGTAGTTTGTGTTTTCATGATCCTTTTTGCGAATGCAGTTTTGCGTGAGTAATTTTGTGCATGATTTTGTACTTTTACTTATGTGCGTATCTTTTGTAACGAGTGTTTTTGTGCACGTTTCTTGATGCGCATTCGTGTGCTCGAACTGTAGCGGGTATTTTCATGATCGCTGTTGGAATCCAATTTTGACCATGTTCGAGTCCGAATTGGGAAATTTGACATTAGACAGGAATTGTAGCCAGCTGAAAGAGCTTTCTAATGCCGCCGGAACCAGTCGATTTGGAGTCCGGATGAGAAAGTTATGCTCGACTTCGTGGACACTACCGAAGATGTTGCGGGATCCTCTCTTCTAATTTGATTTTATTTTCCTAATTGCAACTCTTTTCTTACTCTTTGATCATTTTTGCTTCATGGAAACCTGATTATCAATTTGTACCTATAGAATACTAAATCCACCAATTAATACAGAAATATAAATAAATCAATAAAAAAATAAACGTAAACCTAAACGTTGAGTGTTATTTCTACACTCCACTGTATCTTTTGTATCTTGTGTTTTTGTTGTTGTTTGGTTATGCGTATTAAAGTCCTAGTGTTGTATTTCGTGTTTTTAAGAACGTTGTAGCGAATGCACTTTTGCGCATGTTTTTTAACATGTACGTTTGTGCATGTCCATTCGAGCGAGTGTGTTTGTGCATGTTTGTTGATTTGTATTAATGTCCTAGGATTGTAGTTTGTGTTATCATGATCCTTTTTGCGAATGATGTTTTGCGTGAGTAATTTTGTGCATGATTTTGTACTTTTACTAATGTGTGTATCTTTTGTAGTGAGTGTTTTTGTTCACATTTCTTGATCCGCATTCGTGTCCTCGAACTGTAGCGGGTATTTTCACGATCGCTGTTGGAATCCAATTTTGACCATGTTCGAGTCCGAATTTGGAAATTTGACATTAGACAGGAATTGTAGCCAGCTGAAATAGCTTTCTAATGCCGCCGAAACCAGTCGATTTTGAGTCCGGATGAGAAAGTTATGCTCGACTTCGTGGCCACTACCGAAGATGTTGCGGGATCCTCTCTTCTAATTTGATTTTATTTTCCTAATTGCAACTCTTTTCTTACTCTTTGATCATTTTTGCTTCATGGACACCTAATTATCAATTTGTACCTATAGAATACTAAATCCACCAATTAATACAGAAATATAAATAAATCAATAAAAAAATAAACGTAAACCTAAACGTTGAGTGTTATTTCTACACTCCACTGTATCTTTTGTATCTTGTGTTTTTGTTGTTGTTTGGTTATGCGTATTAAAGTCCTAGTGTTGTATTTCGTGTTTTTAAGAACGTTGTAGCGAATGCACTTTTGCGCATGTTTTTTAACATGTACGTTTGTGCATGTCCATTCGAGCGAGTGTGTTTGTGCATGTTTGTTGATTTGTGTTAATCACTACCAAAAAACATGGCTTTTGTAACGGAAAATTTGTGACACACTAAATCTGTCACAACTAGTGATCGAATTAGTGACAAATTTGTGACTTCTTCCATTACAAAAACTCTGCAAATTGATTGCGACGACTACGTGACTAATTTTGCGACGAATTTCGTGACAACCAAACTTTTGTCACATTTCAGTCATATATTGTTTGACAGAAATTAGTTTTGTCACAAATCGGTGACATATTTTATGACGGAAAATAGGGTGGTCACAAATCGGTCATAATATTTTTAAAGAAGTATGAGTTTGACTAATATTGGTCACTAATTCGTCACAATCCCGTTTCCATCACATATCTGTCACATACATTTCAGTCGTAAATCCGTCACATTCAAGGTTTGTCATTGATCTGTCGTTATTTCATTGTCGTCACACATCTGTCATAGATAACTCCGTAAAAAATCTGTCATATTTTAAATTATGTCATTTATTTGTCACTGTCTTTATTCAATCACAAATCCGTCACATGTAATTCGGTAATGGATCTGTCACATTTTAAGTTTCATCATTAATTCGTCACTTTTGATATCCTAGTTACATATTCGACACATATGTGTGTTGCTTAAAAATAATCACATTTTGATTTTGATTTATTAATCATTTATACTTATTTTGATCTTTGTAAAACAATTTCATGGTGACTAAAACTAATATATAATATATTAAAAAAAATAATAATATAACAAATATGAACTATTCTAATGCTAATATTACAAATATATTTGAGATATTGTTCAAAATTCATGCCATAAGTTTATATATTATATTAAATAAATTAGATTTCTCTTTAATTCATTAACGCACTTGGACAATACTTTAATCTTTAATTATTAAGATATTTTTTTAATTATTTATTGGCTAGGGGATACGAAACTTAAAATAATCTACGAAAACAACAGTTCAGAGAATTGTTTAATTTTGTTTATTATTTTGATCCATTTTTGTTAACAAGTAACTTCATCGATCAATTAACTTATATATGTAACATATTGTATTGATGTAGTAAAATATTTACTTGATAATGTGGATCATACTTATTATTAGTTATTACTGTTATGTGAGCTGTTTTTCGCTATTTAGCCTAAGCTTAGGAGTTTGTAATTTACCCTAAAAATAAATAATTAAAAATGCATTATTTCATTTATATGTCATTTTTTTACTATTTTGAAAAAAGAAATTGATTAATTAAAAAATGAAGCGTACAATTAAATTAAATTAATTATACTTTGATTTGTAGTATATTATGTAATAATCAATGATATCAGTATCGGACCGGACACAAAACCGGATCAGCTTTCGGGTTACAGTTTGACGGGTTCAATCGATTTTTTTATTTTTTTAAAATTTTTAATAATTTTATAAATTTTAATATTTTAAATTATAATTTATATACATTTTTTTAATCTTTCACACTTTCTTCCCCTTTATTATATTTTTGTATAGATTCTTCCCTTTATTATTCACCACACTTATTTTTCTAATATTTTTTATGCCCTTTTTTTCTTCTCTCTCTTCCATCTCTTAATTTTCTTCTCTCGTCGGCCGCCGCCTCCTACCCATCATCATCTGTGTTCCCTTCTCTTAATTGTTTGTTCTTATTTTTTTTCTTCTTCCCTCTATCTCTTCCTTTCCTATTATTTTTTTTCTTCTTTTCCACCTTTTTTCTTCTTTCATATCCAGCCACACATATGTTCGGCAACCCACGACCAAACCCGTCGAATTCCGGCAATCGACGGCCAGATCCGTCAAATTCCGGCAACCCACGGCCTACTCCATTCAGATCCGGCCACCCCCTACGAACTCCGGCCAAATCCCGCCACCAAATGCCTCCGACTCAACGTTTTGTATGGAAAACGGGCTCATTGACAAGTTTCCGGGTTCACCGTTTCAGCCGGTCAAACCGGGTTTTTTACATTTGACTCCCACGCCCCCACTACCATGAATTAATGCCGTGGACACTGTGCAACAAGCACCAGAATACATCCACAAAACGTCCGGTGAAAAGGTTAGGGTTTCTGGACTTAACGATTTTTTTTCTATACTCCAACTCTGTTTCAAACATCAAATTCAAAAAACCATCGATGGCGGTAGACTGAGAATCAATTATTAAGATTGCAGGTTTGCTTCTAGTGTTAAGACAAATATGATTTTGCATCAAAGTTTGTCTTTTTTCGGATTTTTTTGTTAGAGAAGAGCTAGAATTTTCTTCTTCTGGAAGATCTTAGTGGTCGGATTTTTGAATTTTGCCCGTTCCTTACCTAGTGCTTACTATTTTGGGGGTTAATCATAAATAGCATTTACCCACTTCTATGTGGTCTATCTTATGTTTCCTGTGGAGATAAGTTTATGCTATATGGTAGTATATACACAGCTGAACGGAAAAACATTGATGCAAGATGCATTTCTTGTTTGCCAAATGCCAATAGCACCAAGAACTCATCACAAACTCTACATGACCCATGCATAATCAGGGAAGACAGGAGTATTTTTTTATGATAGATTACACATCAGTAAGTATAAAGGAATAATTATGAATTATTTTTCCATATTCATGAAACATGCACATTGCACATTGGAATTTACTGATTGTTAAATAAATTTCTTTGCTCGCAGGGTCTCGCGTAAATTTTGTTCGAGTTCAAATTTGAGGCCTCAATGCAACAGCGGTCTGATCGAAACCAGCTTTCTGCATCAAAGCACGTAAATGTGAATGATATTGATCTCGAACGTAGTTACAGAAGAAATAGCTTTTTTAACTTGTATCGAATTGAAAAATTTGGTGGCTTTTTTCAATTTTAATGCAAAACTTATTCATTTTTTCTTTCGGTCTATGTATTATATGTTTTGACTATTGTGGAATCGTATATGAATTTGGTGTTCTAAGCATTTTCAGTGAGAATTTATTTGGATCTTCTGTTTTTTGTTAGTTTTGTAGTAGATTTTGTGTTTATTATCATTAATTTTGAAGTCGAATGAAATTTTGAAATATTCAGATAACAGGTATAAAAAAAATAAAAAAAAAAACTAAAACAGCTTTGAATAGCGAAACCTCCTGCATCGACGATGGAATTGTGACTGAAAGATAATTAAATATTTGTAACGGATTTGTGACGGGATATTTGTGATGGAATTTTGTGACGGAGGTTCTGAATGAATTATTTGTGACCGATTTTCCGGATGGATTATTTGTGACGGACGTGGTTTATGACGGCGTCTATCACGGATGAGTGATGGAAATTCTCAGTGATTTGTGACACATTAATGACCAATAAAAAGGTTTGTGACGAAATCCGTCACAATACTTGGAGACCGTAGATTACATATTTGTGACGGAATTTTTTCAATTGCGACGGACATATCTGTCATAAACATTGTGACGGACAAGAAAAATCAGTCACAAATTTATTTTGTGACGAGGGTTTTTCTGACAAAACAATTCGGTCATATATTTGTGACAAAAGGGCTTTTGTGACAGATTTTCATCAATTTCGTGACTGAATCGTCCGTCACAAAAGCCCTTTTTTTTGGTAGTGAATGTCCTACGATTGTAGTTTGTGTTTTCATGATCCATTTTGCGAATGCAGTTTTGCGTGAGTAATTTTGTGCATGATTTTGTACTGTTACTTATGTGCGTATCTTTTGTAGCGAGTGTTTTTGTGCACGTTTCTTGATGCGCATTCGTGTCCTCGAACTGTAGCGGGTATTTTAATGATCGCTGTTGGAATCCAATTTTGACCATGTTCGAGTCCGAATTTGGAATTTTACATTAGACAGGAATTGTAGCCAGCTGAAATAGCTTTCTAATGCCGCCGGAACCAGTCGATTTGGAGTCCGGATGAGAAAGTTATGCTCGACTTTGTGGACACTACCGAAGATGTTGCGGGATCCTCTCTTCTAATTTGATTTTATTTTCCTAATTGCATCTCTTTTCTTACTCTTTCATCATTTTTGCTTCATGGACACCTAATTATCAATTTGTACCTATAGAATACTATATCCACCTATTAAAACAGAAATATAAATAAATCAATAAAAAAATAAACGTAAACGTAAACGTTGAGTGTTATTTCTACACTCCACTGTATCTTTTGTATCTTGTGTTTTTGTTGTTGTTTGGTTATGCGTATTAAAGTCCTAGTGTTGTTTTTCGTGTTTTTAAGAACGTTGAAGCGAATGCACTTTTGCGCATGTTTTTTAACATGTACGTTTGTGCATGTCCATTCGAGCGAGTGTGTTTGTGCATGTTTGTTGATTTGTATTAATGTCCTAGGATTGTAGTTTGTGTTTTCATGATCCTTTTTGCGAATGCAGTTTTGCGTGAGTAATTTTGTGCATGATTTTGTACTTTTACTTATGTGCGTATCTTTTGTAGCGAGTGTTTTTGTGCACGTTTCTTGATGCGCATTCGTGTCCTCGAACTGTAGCGGGTATTTTCATGATCGCTGTTGGAATCCAATTTTGACCATGTTGGAGTCCGAATTTGGAAATTTGACATTAGACAGGAATTGTAGCCAGCTGAAATAGCTTTCTAATGCCGCCGGAACCAGTCGATTTGGAGTCCGGATGAGAAAGTAATGCTCGACTTCGTGGACACTACCGAAGATGTTGCGGGATCCTCTCTTCTAATTTGATTTTATTTTCCTAATTGCAACTCTTTTCTTACTCTTTGATCATTTTTGCTTCATGGATACCTAATTATCAATTTGTACCTATAGAATACTAAATCCACCAATTAAAACAGAAATATAAATAAATCAATAAAAAAATAAACGTAAACGTAAACGTTGAGTGTTATTTCTACATTCCACTGTATCTTTTGTATCTTGTGTTTTTGTTGTTGTTTGGTTATGCGTATTAAAGTCCTAGTGTTGTATTTCGTGTTTTTAAGAACGTTGTAGCGAATGCACTTTTGCGCATGCTTTTTAACATGTACGTTTGTGCATGTCCATTCGAGCGAGTGTGTTCGTGCATGTTTGTTGATTTGTATTAATGTCCTAGGATTGTAGTTTGTGTTATCATGATCCTTTTTGCGAATGCAGTTTTGCGTGAGTAATTTTGTGCATGATTTTGTACTTTTACTAATGTGCGTATCTTTTGTAGTGAGTGTTTTTGTGCTCGTTTTTTGATGCGCATTCGTGTCCTCGAACCGTAGCGGGTATTTTCACGATCGCTGTTGGAATCAAATTTTGACCATGTTGGAGTCCGAATTTGGAAATTTGACATTAGACAGGAATTGTAGCCAGCTGAAATAGCTTTCTTATGCCGCTGGAACCAGTCGATTTGGAGTCCGGATGAGAAAGTTATGCTCGACTTCGTGGACACTACCGAAGATGTTGCGGGATCCTCTCTTCTAATTTGATTTTATTTTCCTAATTGCAACTATTTTCTTACTCTTTGATCATTTTTGCTTCATGGATACCTAATTATCAATTTGTACCTATAGAATACTAAATCCACCAATTAAAACAGAAATATAAATAAATCAATAAAAAAATAAACGTAAACGTAAACGTTGAGTGTTATTTCTACACTCCACTGTATCTTTTGTATCTTGTGTTTTTTTTGTTGTCTGGTTATGCGTATTAAAGTCCTAGTGTTGTATTTCGTGTTTTTAAGAACGTTGTAGCGAATGCACTTTTGCGCATGCTTTTTAACATGTACGTTTGTGCATGTCCATTCGAGCGAGTGTGTTTGTGCATTTTTGTTGATTTGTATTAATGTCCTAGGATTGTAGTTTGTGTTTTCATGATCCTTTTTGCGAATGCAGTTTTGCGTGAGTTATTTTGTGCATGATTTTGTACTTTTACTACTGTGCGTATCTTTTGTACTGAGTGTTTTTGTGCACGTTTCTTGATGCGCATTCGTGTCCTCGAACTGTAGCGGGTATTTTCACGATCGCTGTTGGAATCCAATTTTGACCATGTTCGAGTCCGAATTTGGAAATTTGACATTAGACAGGAATTGTAGCCAGCTGAAATAGCTTTCTAATGCAGCCGAAACCAGTCAATTTGGAGTCCGGATGAGAAAGTTATGCTCGACTTCGTGGCCACTACCGAAGATGTTGCGGGATCCTCTCTTGTAATTTGATTTTATTTTCCTAATTGCAACTCTTTTCTTACTCTTTGATCATTTTTGCTTCATGGACACCTAATTATCAATTTGTACCTATAGAATACTAAATCCACCAATTAATACAGAAATATAAATAAATCAATAAAAAAATAAACGTAAACCTAAACGTTGAGTGTTATTTCTACACTCGACTGTATCTTATGTATCTTGTGTTTTTGTTGTTGTTTGGTTATGCGTATTAAAGTCCTAGTGTTGTATTTCGTGTTTTTAAGAACGTTGTAGTGAATGCACTTTTGCGCATGTTTTTTAACATGTACGTTTGTGCATGTCCATTCGAGCGAGTGTGTTTGTGCATGTTTGTTGATTTGTATTAATGTCCTAGGATTGTAGTTTGTGTTTTCATGATCCTTTTTGCGAATGCAGTTTTGCGTGAGTAATTTTGTGCATGATTTTGTACTTTTACTAATGTGCGTATCTTTTGTAGTGAGTGTTTTTGTGCACGTTTCTTGATGCGCATTCGTGTCCTCGAACCGTAGCGGGTATTTTCACGATCGCTGTTGGAATCAAATTTTGACCATGTTGGAGTCCGAATTTGGAAATTTGACATTAGACAGGAATTGTAGCCAGCTGAAATAGCTTTCTAATGCCGCCGAAACCAGTCGATTTTGAGTCCGGATGAGAAAGTTATGCTAGACTTCGTGGACACTACCGAAGATGTTGCGGGATCCTCTCTTCTAATTTGATTTTATTTTCCTAATTGCAACTCTTTTCTTACTCTTTGATCATTTTTGCTTCATGGACACCTAATTATCAATTTGTACCTATAGAATACTAAATCCACCAATTAATACAGAAATATAAATAAATCAATAAAAAAATAAACGTAAACCTAAACGTTGAGTGTTATTTCTACACTCCACTGTATCTTTTGTATCTTGTGTTTTTGTTGTTGTTTGGTTATGCGTATTAAAGTCCTAGTGTTGTATTTCGTGTTTTTACGAACGTTGTAGCGAATGCACTTTTGCGCATGTTTTTTAACATGTATGTTTGTGCATGTCCATTCGAGCGAGTGTGTTTGTGCATGTTTGTTGATTTGTATTAATGTCCTAGGATTGTAGTTTGTGTTTTCATGATCCTTTTTGCGAATGCAGTTTTGCGTGAGTTATTTTGTGCATGATTTTGTACTTTTAGTTATGTGCGTATCTTTTGTAGCGAGTGTTTTTGTGCACGTTTCTTGATGCGCATTCGTGTCCTCGAACTGTAGCGGGTATTTTCATGATCGCTGTTGGAATCCAATTTTGACCATGTAGGAGTCCGAATTTGAAAATTTGACATTAGACAGGAATTGTAGCCAGCTGAAAGAGTTTTCTAATGCCGCCGGAACCAGTCGATTTGGAGTCCGGATGAGAAAGTTATGCTCAACTTCGTGGACACTACCGAAGATGTTGCGGGATCCTCTCTTCTAATTTGATTTTATTTTCCTAATTGCAACTCTTTTCTTACTCTTTGATCATTTTTGATTCATGGACACCTAATTATCAATTTGTACCTATAGAATACTAAATCAACCAATTAATACAGAAATATAAATAAATCAATAAAAAAATAAACGTAAACCTAAACGTTGAGTGTTATTTCTACACTCCACTGTATCTTTTGTATCTTGTGTTTTTGTTGTTGGTTGGTTATGCGTATTAAAGTCCTAGTGTTGTATTTCGTGTTTTTAAGAACGTTGTAGCGAATGCACTTTTGCGCATGTTTTTTAACATGTACGTTTGTGCATGTCCATTCGAGCGAGTGTGTTTGTGCACGTTTGTTGATTTGTATTAATATC